AACTACAATGGAACAGGCATCAAAGGAACAGGCCTCAAAGGAACAAAGGAAAACCAAAGCAAACAAAGCCCGAAGTTGCGGTAGGCCTCTGTACTTTAAAAGGTTAAAATAAAAGCATACTTGGACAAAAAGCTCTAGGAGCCGAAGATTTGATTAATTGGTTAGATAATATTTTATGTTTGAATTATGGATTGTCTTTGAATCAAGTTTGATCAGACTTTAAGCTCCTAGAAGGAAGTTTTAAGCACTGCTTGTTCATTTGCCTTACTGGATTAATTGCTGGACTAATTGCAACAGAACGGTGATATTTTGTCAGAAAGGATACCTAGGTTTTTCCCTTTTTTGTTATACAATCGCTGATGAAACCWGTAGGCCAGAAAGCACGAATGTGCAAACTGATTTGGAGGAWACTGAATCTGCAAAAGATTTGCGTAATGGCAGAAAGATAAAACTCGGACTGCTTACACGCAAGATGAACTTTATCAAAGAATTGATGACTGATCCATCAAATGTAAAACAAGTGATGGAAAATGTATCACGATATGAAGACTTGTMSGGTGAATTRGAAGCTAGTCATAAGGAGTATTAGCATGTATTGTCGGTGAAGGAACGCAAATCTGATGATGTGTTGTGGTATCAACCTAAAAGAAAGATTAKTAAATCGTTCGTGRTAGAAGCGAATGCATGGCTAGTTAAACACYAAAAAGATGAGGATGATAATAGTGGTGATGATGATGTTGAGATAAACCCAGAAGTGTTTCTGCAACTCATGAAAGAAAAGCAGACAATGGTGGATCAAAGGTGTCCTCAACCTCCTCCACGTTGAGTCGAGCAGCAGCTGAGAAGGCCGCGCTAGAAGTTAAATTGGCGGCTCTTAAACAAAAGCTGTATCGTTGTATCGTTTTCCCTGCCCGAGAGAAGAGATTCACATTGGCCCCGGATCTCTCTCCAAGCAGACTACAGTTCTTGTATTGATGCTGAACTTTTTGTAATAAACCTATTATACAATCAAGACGGTGTCAGCGGAGATTTCTTCATCGTCTTCACATCATCGCTACCCCAATATACAACAAACACATTATAAAGAGCAAAATTGAGCATGCAAAGGATAAATTGTACAATCTGGAACAATATACATCTGGTCAGTCCAGAGAACTGGTTAAGACATGTCACTTCTTAGATGCAAATTTAGGCTTTGCATGGGCCAAAGAATTGCTCCAAGAGCACTTTGGAAATGAGTATCAAGTCTCCAGTGCATACATTAATAAGACATTATCATGGTCCTCCATTCGATCTGAGGATTCCCAAACCTTGAAATCATATGCTCTGTACCTCAGAGGTTGTTTGAATGCAATGAATGAAATTGCCTACATGGATGAATAAAATCTGGCTTCTAATTTGAAATTGTTGGTCAGTAAATTGTTCTATAAGTTGAGAGAGAGATGGAGAGCTGTTGTATGCAATTTTCAAGAAACTACAAACTGCAGAGCCACATTCACAACCTTAGTTGAGTTTATTGCAAACAAGTCAAAATCTTGACAGATCCTATCTTTGGTGATATACAAGATCCCTCACCAAGAGCACAAGGTCTAAGGCCCTAACACTCAAGATCTGTGAAATCAAAATTCAATGACAAAGGCTTCATGACCAATGCAGCAACCATTGATGTTATCCACACTTCTCCCAAACAGAGGAATAGCATGTCACCTGTACAACATAACCCATTCTGTCTGTTTTGCTGAGGAGAACATCTACTGGAAAGCTGTTCTTGGTTTAGAAAGAAACGTCACACCGACAAGATCACATTCTTGAAAGAAAGAAAGAGGTATCTGTTTTGCTTGTCTCTTAACAGGCCATATGAGCAAGGACTGCAATCAGCATCAGTCATGTACCATTTGCAAGAAGCCGCATCCCACTGTACCGCACATAGGAAAAGTGGAGTAGAACAAAGGACCGGTAAAACAGGAAACAAATAAGGAAGCAGCCAAGGAGCCCAACATGGTGAAGAACACAGGCCAAGGCCCTAGAAACATGCAGTCAGACTGGAGCCGGTGAAGAACAGTGTCTGATGTCCATCGTACCTGTAAAGGTAAAATCAAACAAAGGCAGTACAGTTGAACAAACATATGCATTTCTTGACTTGAATGGGCTACGAACAGCAGAGAAATTTTATCTTTCATTTATGTGGAGGATAGAGTCAAAGAGACGATGGATCTCGACCTAGACAAAGACAGACTTCCAACAGAAAGGGCCTTAGGTCTGCAATGGTGTGGTGACAACTTTACTTTCAATGTTCAGCCAAAACCACAACTACTCACCAGAAGAGGAATGTTGTCAACGGTCTGTTCAATCTACAACCCCCTTGGTGTCTTGACCCCCTTTACACTAACAGCCAAATTCTTGCTACATGAGCTCTGTAAAATGAACCTAGGTTGGGTTGGGATGCAGAAGTACCCCTCAGCATTCGTGAGCAGTGGTCAAAATGGGCAGCTGACTTGACTAAAATCTCAGACTTCAAAGTGCCACGATGCTTTAAACCTAAAGGATTTGGGTTAGTCATATGCACAATTCCATCACTTTGCAGATGCAAGTGACCAAGGCTATGGAACTGTAAGTTATGTAAAGCTTGTGAATGACCACAACAGGGTCTATGTTACCTTTGTCATGGGAAAAGGATGTGTGACTCCTCTCAAAGGAATGACAATCCCCAGGCTGGAACTTGCTGCTGCAGTTTTAGCTGTAAAAGTGGACAAGCTGTTGAGATCTAGTTTGCAGCTGCATTTAGACCATTCCATGTTCTGGACAGACAGCCAATCTGTACTTAAGTACATAGCAAACGAACACTCCAGATACAAAACATTTGTGGCCAATCGAGTTGCAGCAATAAGAGATACAACAGAGTTATCTCAGTGGAAATACATTGACTCAAAATCCAACCCTGCTGATGATGCAACAAGAGGCCAAAATGTAGACAAACTCATGAACAACAAAAGATGGCTTCATGGTCCAGACATTCTATGGAGAGAGAAGCATCAAGACTTGCATCCCCTCACACAAAATTATCTTTTATGGCTCAAGGCAGAGCCAACTCTCCCACTGGGTACATTTGATAAGAGTGACCTTTACACTAGATGCCGCTGGAGGCAGGTTCAATACTTGGCCAACCTCTTCTGGAGATGTTGGACATTAGAATATTTACCGCTACTCCAAGAGCGCCAAAAGACGAACACCAAAAGAAGGAACTTCCAGTGCGGAGATGTTGCTTTAGTAGTGGATCCAACTGCACCAAGAGGCTCCTGGGTCCTAGGAAGAATAACTAAAGTTTTCCCTGACCATTAGAGAAGACATGTCATCTGGGTGAAATGGACATATTCATTTACATGAAGACTGATATTTAGAAGAAGGATTATTTACCTACTGACACTTGAAGAAATGCTGCGTACGGATTTAAAAAATCCTGTCATGTTCACTTTTGTTACTGTCTCCTGCCAGCCATTTTTGTCTAGTGATGCATTCAGCATATCTGTAGTGTCCTTTTGCAAATTATCAGTATCAGATTAATTAAATCACTCTCTCTCACACACACACACACACACACACACACACACACACACACATATATATATATATATATATATATATATATATATATATATATATATGTGCCATTACGCATGGCCATTCACTGTGTTTTACCTTCATTAAATCACCTGAAAACTATATCAAGCTAACCATACAGTGTCTTGCGCCCTTCCTTGTGTACGGGTGGAGATTGTACACGGGGTGTTGTGGGGCTCTCCTGTGAGGTTAAAGACATGCTGAGGTTGGCCTGATAAACAGCTGCCTGTTGCAGTAGGTCTGCCACGATTAAAAAGGGAGCAAACTTCCTTGTCAGTTGAACGGCATTGGGCGGGGCCATCGGGGGGATTTTGGGCCGTACACGCATTCGCCAGTGTGTTACTGATGTCCTCATAGTTTAATATTGCTGCAACGAGATTGTGAGCGGACTAACTCATTGTCACTCACTTTTAGCTATAGCATCCACACGTTACACAAGATGGTCGCAGGCACTGCGGTGAAGTCTGACGTCAGTCAAGTTTCATTCCATATATTCAAGGTTTCATTCAATATATTCAAAGTTTCATTCAATATATTCAAGGTTTCATTCAATATATCCAAAGTGTCATTCCATATATTCATATATATATATCTATTAAGAGAAAGACTCAAAAGGCAACTTAAAGTAGTGTCAGTCTAAATAAATAGTTTCATATAAGCATTACATATACATAGCATATTATACTTATATTCATTTTGTATACCATACTGGCCTATATACATGTAAACAGTCTGTATATGCATATATATGGATTTGTCCATTTCAACATCTCCAAAATGCTCAAATACTGTTTACATCCTC